ATTTTTTTTTAGAATCTATTTCCATATTCATTCAACGAACTTACGAGTTATTTTTGCGGAGTTTTATTAAAAGAACATTGAAAAAAGAACTCTCACAATATTCTAAGGAACGAAATATTTAACTAATTTTTTTTTAAATTACTAGCTGAATGTCAGTTCTTCGTACAGGGAAAAAATCAATAAATTAGTACTGAACAGCACAACGAAATCATACACAAAACTAAAAGACAAATACCAACTCAATTAATAAAGCTAAAATAATTCCAATATTTTTTATTTATTATTGTATTTTATCCTTCCTAGTAGCTTTATATTATAAGATTTTTGCGGAGTTTATCTTTAATTTTCTTTAATTTTTAAGGAAATAACTTTTTAAAGCATAACTATAAACAAAAGAAACATTATCTTTTTCAGATAGCTGTAGAAATACTAAATATGCGCGCGTAATCTGTCTCTTTATCAAGTTAACGATTATCAATGAGTGTGTCTAACATATCGAATAAAAAATAATTAAATAATAAAGAACGCGAAATAAACTCCTGTTTTAATGAAAACTAGACAACATCACTGATATTTTCTCTTAAATACACGAAGTAAGAAAAAAAAAGAGTCGTCAGCAGTTTAATTTTAATCTTAACTAATTTTAAACGCAAGAAAAAATTCAATTTTGCAAACGTCGTTCTCTATTTCAAGTTAAAGAAACATTACAAGAATTCTATAGCTTGTCTAAAGTAAGAACACCCCTAGCTATACGTCTGGACCCGTGGCGGTGACTATGGCAACGAGATATAGCTATTTTAAGTAGGGGTGTGGGGTCACTGTTTAGGACAGGTTTCAGATCAATTCTGCGAGAGAAATGTATTCTTTTTCTTTGGTCTACTGTGTTAGCTCAAGAGTGAAGAGAAGCTACCCTCCCTGAAATGCGCTATTCTTATTTCCATAGCGGCAGACGGCCTAAGACTTTGTGGCGGGGGGAGTTCTTACTTTAGACGAACTATAATATTGTATTGTTTGTTCTCAAATATTAAAAACGGGAGACTCGATTCTGTGGAAATTAGTTTCTAGCGAAGAAACTAAATCACACTTTATTAGTCAAGAAGAAGGACCTACCCTATTGGCGTGTTGTCGTTGATAAATTCACGGCTTCAGTGTAGATAAGTTTGTTTCACTATAGCAATTCTCTAATGTACTTTTGTTTTTGAACTAGCCTTATTTATTGGTCATTTGATTTACAAAAATTATTTTTAGTTCAATTTATTATATATTTACAAAACACTCCTACCTTAACAAATAATAAGGATTTCGTCCAATAGCAGCACTGTTCTGTTCCATTCGATAACCTCTGCACTCGTCATAAGACCGGGTCTTATCTTTACCCCCTTGATGTGAGTCTATCCTGGGCCCACGAAATATACAGTGCAGCGAAGGAAGATAACTACAATTATATGCATAGTAGAAATGTCTTTTACTTTTTCAATGAAATTCTAGTACTATTTCTAGTATTGCATTTTTTTTTATTTTCTACTTATATTTTAGCTTCACCTGCTTCTATACTCTAAATTAAAAAATATGTCTAGCCACAATTTTGCATAAAAATGGTTGAGGAGGTAGAAGTATCAAAGACCTCAAAAGAAAGTTTCTAAGATTCGCTGTTTGGCGGTCATTACACATTATATTTTGTTGTTCGTCAGTTTTGTTTATGAACTAACAAACCCTTTTTGTAAATTCAAATTTGTTCTTAAATTATTCCAATTTTGAGTGCATATTTTTCTCGAATGTTTGCCCACTTTTTTTTTCTTTACATTACATTTTGATTTGCAAAACTAAACTATAAAATTTAAAAATTTAAAATGACGATGAAAAGCTGTTGAAATATGTGCTGGAAATATGACTGAATAAAAAAAAGTATCATTTCGCAATTAGTTCAAGGATTATTAACTATAAAATTTTTTAAAAAAAACATCTTTATCCGATAAAATTATTTGCAATTTCACGTAGAATTTGATAGATAGATAGATATTTTATTTACGTTGTACTAGAGCTGTATAATGGGCTATTGAAGACGATCTGGGAAACATCCCTGAGGATGATCCGAAGACATGCCATCACAATTTTGATCCTCTGCAGAGGGGATGATTCCTCTGCCTTGGTAGCCTGACGCTCTGCGTTTGAAGTCGAGCAGTTTAAGGTAGAACAGTTTAACGAGGACCAACACCGTGCACCCTTGGTTCTTACGCAGGCTGATTAAGGTGGTCACCCACCAGCTTATTGACAGCAGTCAGTGACGCTTGAGTTCGGTGTTCTACTGGGGCAGAATTTAATGCGTCGAAAGAGATATTATTATTTGTGAATTTTACAGTATTAATAACATTACAGCAATTTTTTTACGGTTTTCCTAGGCGAATCAGTACTATTTCTCTATTAACCTTATTTCAAATACATTTGATTTTAAATTATTTAGTTTTTTACAAATACGTTTCGAAAGCATAACTATATTTTTAAAAAAAACAAAGATATAGTTTCAGAAAATATATTCGGTGACGTAGCTTTCAAATGCTACTCATGCTGATCACTGACCTTGAAATAAAAATTAATATTGAAGAAAGTGCAATAAACTCCAGAACAGAATCGTCTGCAGTTTAATGTATGCAGTAAAAATGGATAAAGTTTAAAAAAAAAATAAAAAAAAAAACATCGCAAAATTAATTATTCAAAAATCTTTCCCGAACGACGTTCTAATGATCCTTAGAATCGGGAGCTAAAATTGCTTCTTGTAGCCAATGTTTTAATTTTAGAATCCTAAAACAAAGGGTACTGAAGTTATAAAAGGTACGACATAGCATTTAAGAAAGCGGACAAACAAAAATGCCTAGTAAACACAAAAGAAAAATTGGAGAGAAAAATAATTTATATGCCACAAATATTTCTTATTAAGCATTATTAGTTATTGACAAAAAACTCATATTTACACAATTTTGCTGAATAATGCAACAGAGAGAAACCATGATAAAAATGAAAGAACGTAATTTATTGTCAAATATATATTCTTTATTACTTTCTTTGAATTATATGATATGCAAATGCTTCCTCTCAAATAACTCAAAAGACAATGAAGTTGCTTATTCTGTTCTTGAAAAACAATCGAAAGGTAGCTGTAAATCGTATTTTACAGAAACAGAGTGTTTTGTCCTCCTTCAAGGTGAAAGGCTTTTTGGACCACGACAGCTAATTTACATTTTGTGAACAATGTATCATATTTTGTATATACAGGAAAATGTATTATTTTACGCCAAATAAAACACTAAACGTGCCAAAATTAAGCACGTAATTTAATGTTACTTTAAGTTTCGTTTCATGGCAGATTTTTTTGTCCGGAAAGTTTTAAACCTCTATTTGTCTTGGTTTTTCGTTATTTGAGTGGCCAGGAGATTTAAACCCAGTTTTTTTTTCTATTTAGCGTATTCAGAACAAAATAATTATCTATTTACTGTGAATATAAATGAGGTATATCATTTTCTCTTCCATAATATAAGAGAAATGAACATTATTATTAGTAAATCAGAAAAGTCAAGAAGATAAAATCAAATGACCAGGGCAGTCTCAATAGCAAGCAGGGGTCCCGGGCACAGAAATGTTTTTGGTCCCTATAACATATTATACTGCTTAAAATCAAACTAAAAAACTTCACTTACATAAAAGCATTTTTAAGATTTGCAATAATTTCAACACATTTTTATTACTCCCAAAAACTCAATGCACATAAAATAAAGCATTTTTAAACGTGTAGTCCCAAATTAAAATGGGAACTTTTAATTGAAAACCCCTATATGCATAGTTTTTTTAAAAAAAATTATGATGCTAACTAGTTGCAATCTTCAAATAATAAAGTAATTTTCAAAACCAAGAAGCTAATTAAAATAATTAAATTGAAAAAAACATAAGGGTATAACAAATAAAAAAAGAATTCAAAGGGTATTAATTATTTCGTCAAAGTCAGTTATTAAAACATCTTTTAGTGTGCATCAGACATAACCAGTTTAAAAGTTGCTGTGTCCTTTAGTGCTGTGTAATTCTAAACTGTTTCAATTAACATTTTATTTAACTAATTATAATACTAAACAGAGTTGGTGCTAGTCAAGCATATTTAGAGACATTATGACTTGTCCCGCAGTGGACTAATCGTTAAGACACGGTTCCCAGCCGATCACCAAAGTCAAGCAATACGGACTACGGTCAGTGAGCGGGTGGGTGACCACTTGGATCAGCCTGCGTAGGAACCGGGGGTGTGCGGTATTGGTCCTCGTTTAACTGTTCTACCGTAAAGTGCTCGACTTCGCTTGCAGGTCGTCGGGCTACCGAAACGGGGGTGCCATCCCCTCTGCAGAGGATCAAAATTGTGATGGCATGTCTTCGGATCATCCTCAGGGATGTTTCCCAGACCGTCGCCAATAGCCCATTGTGCAGCTCCAGTGCAACGTAATTAAACAACGACATTATGACTTAGATAGTTGAGTACCGAAAAACTTCATTTTAACATAGAGAAATAGATTTCGGTTGACTTTTTAAGTCTTCCTGGTGATAAACTGATCAAATTATAGGTATTTGCATGATAATAAATCATTATTTGTAGAAGAAAAATAAAAATGCACACTTTTTACACGAGAATATATTTATTTTAGAAATTACATAAGGCAATGCTGTTTATTTTTATTTTTTTAATATAAATTATAAAAAGTAAAATTCTCAAGGGACCCCTGAGTGCTTGAGGCCCCCGGACACTGACAGGGTGTATCCTATGCTTAACACTAGACTGCCTAGGAAGTCATTTTAACTGGTTTTAATTTCAATTAGAAAAACAATGATATATATAATGACTCAATTACTTAGAATTTTGTACAACATATAATTTTTTATTGTTAGTATTTACTAATAACTTGTTACATAACTGTAAATAATATGAAAATATTAAAAATTAATTTTAAACAAATTTCTTTACACATTAATTATTCTTTTACAATACAGTCATTTTGACTGCTTTTGGACAATATAGGTATATACTAAATTTCAGTCAAACGGGTTTGCAAATGATGCAATATATATACATATATTCACAGGTGAGCAAGTATGTATACTAATATGTTTTCTATGGAATATATTTCTTATTGGCTAAATCAAATAGATTTGTACACCTTATTGAAAGTTATAAATTTAAATTTTCTTTTGTGAAATGAAGCAAAATTTATAAAATACTTTCACAGCCAAATCACGTCTGTATTTTAGCCAATCTCTGTGTAGGCTTAGATTCCATTCAAAAATATAAAAAATATATTATTCAGATATTAATACGGAATTTTCAAATAATAGTATTAAAATTTTCTTTATACATCTGTAAAAAAATGAGGCGGGGGCCGGGGAATGAAGGGGGGCCAGTATGGTGGACGCCGTAACGGTGGACGCCAGCAGAGAGGACTCACTGGGATACTGGCGGGAAAGTTCATTCCAGTAATTGATGAATTCCATTCTGTTAGGTATGGCTTCATTAATAAATGAACGGTCATTTGTGTACTAGAGCAACTTCTACTATTATAATCTTCTACATTAAATTGGGCGTTAGTGTACTGAAGGTACTGCAATGGGCCAAAAATAGGTCTTAGTGTGCATTCTTTTGCTATTTCAGACACTAGCTCACTGTATCCACCAGCTGCATTGTCAATAATGAAAACTACTGCGCCAGGACGCATTGACTTGAAAATGTTCTGTAAAAGAAATTGAGTGAGGGTTACTCTTGCTATTTAAATTGTGCAAACATTAGTATAAGAACGTAAAATATATATATTTTTTAAATTGACTACCGTTTTAATTAATTGTATTCTTATTTAATAAATAATTAAGAAGACCTTGATAGAGTTGATGACGTCCAACTAAACTGATTTGATTCGGGGGGGGGGGAATTTCAACAGAAGCTTATGACTTACATATATGACATCAGTGACAGTGCTTTCTTTCATGCCTATTATCAAACGGTAGTCCCGCAGTGGACTGATCGTTAAGACACGGTTCCCAGCAGATCACCGAAGTCACGCATCACTGGCTGCGGTCAGTGTGCGGGTCGGTGACCACTTGGATTAGTTTGCGTAGGTACCGAGGGTGTGCGGTATTGGTCCTCGTTAAACTGTTCTACCGTAAAGTGCTCGACTTCGCGTGCAGATCGTCGGGCTACCGAAGCGAGGGTGCCATCCCCTCTGCAGAGGATCAAAATTGTGATGGCATGTCTTCGGATCATCCTCGGGGATGTTTCCCAGATCGTCGCTAATATTCCATTGTGCAGCTCTAGTGCGACGTAAATGAACTAAAACAACAACAACATCAAACTGTACATGAAGATGAACAATGGAGGAAAATAGAACCCTGACATTGGATGGTTGTTTCACGTGATTATTGATGATTCAAAATAGGAGTGATATTAGGAACAGGTAGGTACTTTATTTACGTCGCACTAGAGCTGCTCAATGGGCTATTGGTGACACTCTGGGAAACATCCCTGAGGATGATCCGAAGACACGTCATCACAATTTTGATCCTCTGCAGAAGGGATGGCTCCCCTACTTAGGTAGTCCGACGACCTGTGAGAACTTTACGGTAGAACAGTTTCACGAGGCCCGATACCGAGCACCCTCGGTCCTTATGCAATGCTGATCAAAGTGGTCACCCACCCGCTTAGTGATCGCAGCCATTCATGCTTGACTTCGATATTACGAACAAAACAACTAAGGTACGATTTTCTTTCTTTTGTTTTTATTTCGTTTGAAAAAAAATGAATTAAAGAGAATCTGGGGTCTCCCTGGCCGAGCTGTATCGAACGCCAAGCACTGTGCAAAACGTATTGGTCACGGGTTCGAATCCCGCTGTTACCCTGGATGCTTCTCCGTGACGCCATTCTGTGTATTGTGATATCTGTTCTTCTTTGACAAAGGTTTATTAGCCTAAATTGAGCACACAAGCCTGCAAATGTATGTAATTTCAATAAACCAATCATAAAAGAATCTGTTCGCGGTTTCAAAATGTGCTTCAGCTAAGAAGTTTTTTCATAAATCTTCCATAATTGATTTAATTCTTTTTCAGACATGCTTATAAGTTTCCCATGTATCTAAATAATATTTATCAACAGTGCGATGTGTTAGGTTTTTTAATCACTGTTTGTAAAGAGTTCCAATTATATTAAAATTCCTTTAACGTATTAAAGTAAGTTAAGAATGAAATAAGATTGTTTAAATCATTTAATACAGGTTTAGTCATTTAATTATGCAATTTAAATAAGTTTGTTCGATTGCTTGTTAAAATTGTTTGTTTCTTAAATTGTTTCATCATTTAAGTAAGTTTGAAAAAAAAAACTCAAATAAAAAATTCGTAATAATAAATACATAATGACCACAGTTGTGTTGATTACGATAATCTATTTGTAAAAATAATAAAAATTATGTCAATGATTATATAATAGTATGTTTAAAGAAATCGTGTCTAAAGAAAATTAACACAAAAAAAAATTCAAAATAAAAAATAATATTTTTAAAAACCACGTTTTTGTAGTGGAGAATAATAATTAAAAAAAATTTGAAAAACGAAAAACGTGGGGCGCATGAAATACATAACAGTAATGTTATATTAATGCGTGTATGTGTGCTCTTGAGAATATGTGTATGTATATCTGTAATTGTAATTGTATCTGAATGTTGATGTGGAATATGTTTTNATTCTTATTCGAATGCAAGTATTGAGATTGTTTAAATCATTTAATACAGGTTTAGTCATTTAATTATGCAATTTAAATAAGTTTGTTCGATTGCTTGTTAAAATTGTTTGTTTCTTAAATTGTTTCATCATTTAAATAAGTTTGAAAAAAAAAACTCAAATAAAAATTCGTAGTAATAACTACATAATGTCCACAGTTGTGTTCATTACGATAATCGATTTGGCAAAATTATAAAAATTATGTTAATGATTATAATAGTATGTTTAAAGAAATCGCGTCTAAAGAAAATTAACATAAAAATTAATGTTATTTTAACAGAATGAATTAAAATAGAAATATTGCAATAAGTGTATATTGTATAAAAATATTGCAATTAGAAAAATTAACATAAAGTAGGTTTCTTACGTTCTGATTAGATCACTGCTCTCAATAGTCACGTGAGACGACGATCTAACAATTGGATTTGATTTTCCTCAACTTTATCCCCGTCAACATACACCTCCGTTATCTTCCCTTTTAAGAAATGTTGTGAAAGCACTGCTTCATTTGGTGTTTCTCTTGAGCAGTGTTTCCAAAAGTGTGGTACGCGTACCCCCAGGGGTACGGGAATAGTTTAGCGGGGGTACGCTTTCTAATGCGAAATATCTTGCAACAAACGAAAATTTCAAAAATTTTTATTTAAAAACAATGCTAGTCATGAAAATTGACGATTACATATTTTCTATTGGCTATTTTTTGCAGAGTTAACAGTTAGTAATTAGTGGTGTCAACAGCCAGTTATGATTTTGAACTTTTGTGCATTTTTTTTACAGTAAAAAATATATTAATTTTTTTATTAGTGGTACACAGCGTTACGAAAAATTTAGAAAGGGTACACAAAAGTCATAAGTATGGGAAACACTGCTCTAGAACCACTGGACTGATATGAATGCTTTCTTTTTATAAATAATTCACACAACAAATTAATTTAAAAATTTACTCAAATTTCCAAGCTCATCTAGTTTGGTAACAAATTGTAAAAATTATGACAAAATAGCTATCTCAGAACCTATTTAAATATAGATTTCGACTTAAATCATTAGGAAATCAAAAAGTAGGACAATTTAGATAAATAAAAGTACTGGTTTAAATGAAAAGATCTAAAATGAGGGAGTATCCCTAAGTGAAATTTCCGAACATGGACCAAAAGTATTATGTTCTTCTACACGTTTACACTAACTCATGCTCAAATAAGTTAACTAATAGAGAAATATGCTAAATAACAACGCGTATAGAGAAATTATACTTGGTGATTCGGTACTTTTTATTTATGTCGCACTAGAGCTGCACATTGGGCTATTGGCGACGGTCTCGGAAACATGCCTAAGGAGGATCCAGAGGCAACATACATACGTCACATTCCGTTTTACTGAGGAGACACATTCACAAACTATCCATCCCTCCGTAGATCGTTATTTTAACCTGAACCAGAGCACGATTAATTTGCGATGAAGTACCCCCAGTGGTATTCATTTGTTATGCAAATTTGGAGGACTTTGTGACCCCAACAGATTTAGCATGCACCAGCTAATATTTTGTACACGGGGAGTCTTCGGCCGGCGGGGATCGAACTCTCGACCTCTTAAACATGTGTCCAACACCCTACCAGCCAGGCTATCCTGGCCTATAGAGAAATTAGGAAACATGAATTCTACTTTTGTTCTACTAATTATGTGCGTGTTACATTGAAATATTTAATAAATTGCTTAAAACAACTAATTACTGTATAAAAAATTAAAATAAATAAGATACATTACTTGAGAGTTAAAGTTTTTAATTAGTTTTATTTATTTGTTTACTGAAATATTGACTAGTGATAAATTGATATACAATTGACAGAGTTACATACTAAAGTGGTTAATATAATTAAATTTTATAAATTCAGTAAAAGTTAAATTCATTAATAAAGTTTAAGAAATTCTATTTGTAAAAATCAAATATTTTAACACTTACTCTGATCATTTGTGCAGTATCCACACAAGTTACAGCAGAGAGAAACTTAACCATAGTTATCAAATTTGCTGAGCTTATAGTTTTCTTTACAACGCTGTCCATCTTGCCCAGCAAGTCAGCCTCTACGTATGAAAACTGAAAATACTGTGGCGTAAGATTCCCAGACAATCCATAATGATTGTTCCGAAATTCACCTAAAATCGAATCAAAGGTATCCTTCCATCCGGGCATCAATTCGAGAATTTTCGTAGAGCAACAAACGAGTCCAAATCTTCTGTGCAATGCAGAAATAATCCCAATGGCATCAATTCCTGGTCCACCACCGAGACTGCAAATATTAACACAATTGTTATGACTCCAAAATATAGGATTCATAACAGCCGAACACTCTATTAAAACTCTGGTAAATATATCCTGCACTAAAAATGTGTGCAAGGAAGCATATTTAAACAAATATGCACATCTGTAAGCAGGATCATCGTAATTGGCTTTTTGATCAAATTTCTCGACCCAAAATTTCGAATTTGGTTTGTACACTTTTTCAATATTTTTAATTGCAAGTTTAATTTCCTCAGTTTTAGTGTCAGACTTTTCAATTTCTTTAGAGCGTACGTTGCTGTACAACGTTAAGTAATTTGAAGGACTTAACATACTGGCACAAGTATTTACAAAATGTACATATTTATAAAGCTATGTTAAGAAAAATCGTTCGAGCCGCCAGTTTAAAAAGACGTATGGTAATAAAACCATTGAATACTAGACGGGAATTCCCCGTACAAACCGAAACTTTAGAACAGATAACAACAATTGTGTTATTTTATGCTCCAGATTAAGTTTCATTGCGGTTTTTATATCAGATAATAACGTTTCTATGATAAACAATATAATTTCTCCGTTTCTATTGACTTATCAATAAAAAGATAAAGCAGTTCTTGAGTCAGTATGAAAGGAAAATTATTGGAAAAAGTAAAGTTTTGATTTAAGTTCTCTATGAATATGTGAAGTTTGCCCAGGTGGCCTTTTGTAATAACTGATTTGGAGGAAATCAGAAGAGGAAGTTTATTGATCGAACTTAAGCAGGAAGTAAAAAGTTATAAAGGCCTTAAGTATGTATAATTTTTTTTATTTAAATTTTAGTTCTGTTTGATTTGAAGTTTGAAATTGATCTATGAATTTTTATTTTGACCAAGGTAATACACCTAAGATTATTGATAAAAAAAAGCTGTTAAAGATTATAGATAAAATTTAATTTTTAATTTAATCTTCTTCAGTAAAAAATTCAAATTAATCTGAATATTAGTCCGTCACATTACTTATATTCAGAAATTAACCCGTCTTGCCAGACAGTGTTTGTTATAGCAAAGCAAATTTGTTCTGTGGAGAATTATAATTAATTTATCGGTTTTTATTTTATTTGAAAAAATATTGATTTCCTTTGATAGAAAATGTAGTTTATAGAATAATATTACACTTTTATTTTAATCATTCTTATTCGAATGCAAGTATACCACATTAGGTACATTCAGAAATTAACCCATCTCACCTAAAGTTTTTGTTACAGAAACGAAGATTTGTCCAGTTAAGAATGATGTACTATTAATTTATCAGTTTTTAATTTGCTTAAGAAATTATAGCTGTATTTGGTAGGAATTATGGAATAGTATTAAATTTCTAATTTATCTTGATAATTAAAAATAAAATTCTATTTGAATACCTGTAGAACATTTTATACATTTTCGAAAATTAACCTATATGTGATTCTTCCGTTTTTAGCTAGTGAAAAAGATATATTTGGTTTAGAATTATAAAGGGCAAATCATTATATATGCTTGTTCATGTAGTTATGGTATTAAATAAAACTTGTAATCTATCTTTACGAATCAAAAATAAAATTTTATTTGAACGTAGTAGCCCTTAAATTAAAACAGACCGAACTCTTCATTATCTATCGAACGATATTCTAACTGCAAACGATTCGTTAAAGTTTAATGAACCAATATTTGTAAACGGAAAAACCTGTTTCGAATAATTTACAATACAAGGCTAAATTATTTGAGAATGAGTGTAATGAAAAATACTTCTAACGATGTACGGTTTGTTCAAGCTTACAATGCTATTATTTTTTTTCCTATCTCCCCGGCTGCAAAAAAATATTAAGTTATTAAAAAACGAAATAAATAATCATTCGAAATAGAGATGAAGAAATACCGACTCTCACTCCCCGAAAAAGTCATTTCTGTGATTAAGAAGTACAGATTTTTCGAGATCGTTATCTGAAAACAGCTGTCGCCTGAAATCAGATGCAGACATTGGTTACATCTTCTTCGCAAGTTCTCGCAGGTGGACCTTCCTTCGTTCGAATAGAACTAAAATAACAGACATTCGGAGCTGTTACTATTTCGACCGACAGCCTTCATATCATGTCATAGAATTCATGGAATAGAAGTCATTGAGAGAAAATTAAGTTTTATCAGTGGTTAAAATTGATAGCTGTTAAAATAGCTTGACTGATCAAATTGCAATGGCCACACCTGCAATCTTCGATAACTTTAAGTCTATTAAGTCATTTATGATTGTATTATACGCCCATGATAATTAGTGGCGTGCAGATTTAAAGTCAATAACATTACAAAGTTTAAAATTGTTGCAATTTGATTGTAACCGTAACTCTTTTTGGTTGCAACTGGCATGCATTTTTAATAATGCAAGAAATATGTTTAGTAAATGTTTTTTCAAGGCTCTTTCGGAAAGAAAAATAAATTTTAAAAGAAGTCACTGTTTAAGTATCTTAAATTTGAGGCAAAGATATTATTTTAAACTGTACCAAATTAAAAAAATTTCGACTCTCGGCCAATCAGAGAATGTTACTCATATGCAGTAACTGTCTGACGCATGCCATATGCAAAGATGCCAACTACTACGGACAAGCCAAAATAATTTTAAAAAACGGTAAATAATTACAAACAAAATTTTGCAAATATTTGACTATTTTTTCTTGCTTTTTAAAAGGTATAGAATGACATAACTACTATGTAGTGGTGAATAAGCCTACGAATTATTTAGAAATAGTGGTGGATAAAAATCTGCTAAATTGAATTTATTAAACCAAGAATCACAATTGATAAACTACCACTTTAAAATATATATTTGCTGCCAGGAACAAGTTGGCATCTCTGTGCATATGTAGTATTTCAGCAATTTTCGGTAACTTATTGCATATTTGTTTCTAGCACGCTTTACTACTGCACTAAAACTATGATTTTCGCGAGCGTTAAGGATATTTAGTTTTTTTTTTGTTCTAGTGATTTCGTCTTCTTCAATTTTTAAAATATTTTAAAGACGGGGACAGCCGAAATCAACCCTTCTTCCAAGTACATCAAAATGAAAAAGTATTTAAAAATATAATTATAATTTATGTTTCTTTTTTTTTCAGCTTGAAAATTTGTGTATGTGAAATCAAACTTTAATTATGCTGTAGGTTAATCTCTATATTCATAATAAATTTGCAATTTGTGTAAATAGAGATACTAGAATTCATTGATAATGAGGCATTTTCATTGGTTTTAGTATATTTTACATAATTTTTCAATATTATTTTTATTTCATTAATCTTTTAAAGTATTGCGTTTAATCCCTTCAAACCTTGAGTAGAAATTTTAGAATAAACTCTTTTAATCAGTAGATTAATAAATAGACAAGAAATAAACTAAAAAATTACTGAAAAACCTTACTGAGAAACTTATAGTTTTATTCATTCTTTAAAAAAAAAAAAAAAAATCCGTTAAAATTCAGAGAAATTTGAAAGGGGATCTTTTTGATTTGTTTTTAAAAAAATTCCATTGGATATTACATGAGAATTCACGAAGTTAAACGAATCAAAATGTAAAATTATGTGTTATTTTAAGAAAAAAAGTAGTTTTACAAAAACTAATTACTTACAACTGTTGATTATTTTAAACGGAAATTTTATTACAGTTGCTACCGCACCAACACCATTATTGCTCCGCATTCTTTTTTTTCCTCAAATGTCGATATTTTTCCAAAAATACAAAGAATATTTTGTTATAATTATTGTAATTCTGTGTAACAAAATTTTGTTAACAATCGTAGCTGCATTACCTGGATTTTGAAAAATATTAAACTTGCCCTTGAAAAAAAAATTAAACTTAGTAATATGCACTTGAAGAAAAAAATTAAACCTAGTAAAATGCACTTCAAAAAAAATTAAACCTAGTAATACAGAATGTGCGACGTAACATAAAAATATAAATGAGAAGTAATTTTAGTCGTTAACGAGATATAACAGTTCAAATAGGAAACAGTTTTTTTTTTTACCTTGAATTGAAGTTTTTCATATTTTTAACATTTTCATTATACGATTAAAATGCTCTGCACACCAACCCCTGTAATTGCTTCTCATTTATTATAGTTTTTCTTTTTTTTCAAACGATATTTTTTTATACAAAAAAAAAGCATAACTGCCATTCTGTTAATAAAATATACGTAATTATTATAATTTTATGCAAGCGCATTTTGTTAATGTGTTAATCGTATCGAAATGAATAATTACTAGGAATTAAAAAATAACACTGGGGAACAAATTATTTTTTGTTTTCTGTTGCATGATCAGATCTTAGATACTTCCATATTGCTGATTTAAATTCTATAATCGGTTTCTATATACCAGCTATAGTATTTTTAATGACATTTTTTGTCTTATTTTTGTCGAAATGTATGATTTTAAAAACGTTATTTATAACAGTGGTCACGTAAATGTTGCGTCAAACTTCTAGGGGAGTTAAGGCAATCATGAGGAGTAAAATTGCGTTGGAAAGTCGTCATACGCCGCTAGGAGCTCTTCCCCATTCTGAACTGTTTTTTTTTAGTGCTTCTGGACAGGTTATAATGAAAAAGCTCACTATGATGACATTTCTGGGCATGGGTCCCTGTGCAATTCCTGATGGTATTCCCTAACTACCCTATAAGTTTTTCGCAACATTTACTCAACCCCTTGTTCTATATAGCGTTTTTAAACTTACACATTTCGACAAAAAATAGATTAAAAATGCCGTTTTAAAAAATATTTGTAGCTTTAAAAGCAAAAATAATTTCAGGTTTGAAATCCCCACACTTGAACTAGGCATTATCAAGTTGACGTATGCCATTAAATCGGAGGGGGAGCGATTGTTCTTGCAAGGTTCTTGTTTTCCAGTGGCGCCATCTATGACCAAGAATTCGACTTCTGCTATACCCAAATGTCACACCCGTTTATAGGGTGGACCCATTCATACATTCACTCATCCACAGATCGTAATTTTGACCTGAATCAGAGAACGATTAATCTCCAATCCAGTACCCCCAGAGGTTTGCATTATCAAGTATTTGTATAAATGAAATATAAAAAAATTTTCCCAGTGTAATCAACTGTACATGGAAAAAAAAACTGAATTATCTGCATAATGTATGGAACTATAAGAAGAGATAAAAGATAAGATTTTTTTTTTATTATTAATACGAAAACGTTGTCCTTACATTAATTCAAATATAATAGGTTAGAATTTTTAACGTTTTTGAATTCTTCAATAAATGTTCATATTTTTAATATTTCAATAAAAATCTTAAGATGCTATATCTGGCAACATCTAATTTCTCTCTTGTTGCTTTCTTTCTTTCTTTTATTTAATTTTACAGTATTCATTTTATTGTATTTATTTTATTTTATTTTACTTTCGATATCGACACAAACGCAAGCATAGGAAATAAAAATATCCCTAGAAATTAATTAAATTTTCTACAGCTGTGGTTAAATAACATTAATTTAAAACAAAATAAAATCGTGAAAA